AATTTAAATAAATAATTATTATTATTTTATTTTATTACTTTTTTTCGTTTTTTAGTTATTAATTTGTTTCCGCGTTGTCGCTACATAATGAAAAAATGACTACCTCCTGCGCTATTTCTTTTTGCTCAAATTTCGCTAATCGGTTAAAACTTGACTTTTTTACGTAGAACATTAATCAAAATATATAATAAGACTTCAGCGACACAAGTATGAGGAAGACAAATGGGGTAATACACGTCCAGGGTAACCCTCGATTGTTAAGAATTATTATGATGGATACTTCTGTTGTTTCAAGTTTCATAAAGGAAGAAAATGTAATGTCACCGTATTGTATATTGTTTTGTTGATAATTTAATTAGCCCTAAAATATCACACGAATAAGTCTAATTTTGTTTCACTTTTTCGAAATCTTACTTGTAGGAAATGTTGGGACCGCCTCAACAAGCAACAAATATTTGAACCGTTTTCCTAAAATATTTTAATCGTAATAAGCAAAACACACATAATCACACTAATCAGTATACAACGTATGCTTTGGTATATTTTTGGTTTTTGAATGACTAATATTTTAATAATTAATTGTTATTCAGTTGCTTCTTTTATTTTGAAGATCTTTTAATATAAAGCTAGTAAATTGATCAGCAAATTACCAGTAGATTTATTTATACTTAATTGTAAACAAAATAAAAACATTAATTTTTGCTAATGAGAACGATTTTTTATTATACTGATCTGGCTTGTATAAGCAATGCGAATATTTCTTGATTGTTTAGATTGTGTTTCTGTACTTACTTTACATAGTTCAAAGGCGCCCTTGAGACAGCTGTTATTTTTCTTTTTAATTTGCTATGATTAAATGGTAAAAGTATTTGCTTTCTGAATATTAAAGACACAATAAAATAAAGTTTCAATTTTCAATTTAAGGTATCAATATAATAAAACTTTAAAATATCTATGTCCTATAGGTTTCAAATCACTATTTTAAAAATATTTTGTGTTTTATGCAACGTTGTCCTTCTTACCCATGCAATGGAACGTAGGCCCTCTATTATTTGTTTTCGATTTAATAAAATCCGATTTGTTAAAGATTTTACATTTAGTTCTCAAGATTATTAAAAACTGCTTCTTGGTACCAACTGTAATTTAAAAATTTGATTAAAAAGTTACAACAGCTCGTTATATTAAAGGTGACCATTTTTTCTAAAAATGGGGAAATGTCCTGAATGTCAATTTATTTAATTCATTATCTTCCAAAACGACTCGATATGCCACACCAAGACTTGTTTGCAAGAGAACCTTTCAAATGCCATATACAGTTTGAAATAAAATTGTGATGTGATTCGCAATAATATCAATTTTGTCACAAAAATTTCAATCACACGGTATAATTTTGTAATCGTACATTAATTTAAATTTGCTACAAAACCGTTGCAACCACAGGTCTATTTTTTTGATACTTGAAGATCTAAGTCAATTGTTTTTCACAATATGGCTGCAGCAGCCTGGCTATGCGAAGTATATAATTCTGGGTTTGCTTCAAGTCATCATCATTTTTTTTATTCTACAATTAAATTTTTTCTGGAATGTGTTTAAACTTACTCAAGGATAAATAATTCGTTAATTTAGAATTAGGCAATAGCCCACATAGTTTTTCCTCTATGAAACTGTTAAAAATACCTTTCACCGTGTCCATGTTTGATTTGCAAAACAAATTCCTAATCGAACGTTTCATCAAGTACTTATACCAGCAATCAAATATGCTCTTTCGCATCTGAAGACTTCAGCCAGAGCGACAAAGTAGAAGGTAACGGGAGATTGGGTTTGGTCGTTTTCTCGATTTTACCGCCTGATGTACACGTAACTTAATCGTATCGGGTTAAATTGCTGCGTTAGTCTAAGCAAACGGACTGTCAAAGGGTGTTCTCGGTGTTTCCTTAATACATAACTAATTCTAAACTAAAGTGTCCGAGTTGGAAGGCATTTGTAGCTGAGCTTGTTTAATTCAAACGGTCGGTTGGGAGCAGGTGCTTGCGATGTAGTTGCTTGATTGGAGTAGTTTTGCTTAATGTGTTATTTGTTACACAAGTGCGAAGACGACGAGTGTTGAATTACTTTACTGATTATTGACGGCACATATATTAAATTGAGAGTGGTTTAAAAACGTTCGTTGCATCCGTCTTCTCATTTTCTAACTCTCTCAAATTTTCGCTGCATTGAACGAAATCCATTCGCGAATATTACTCCCAATTTATTTTAGAAGCACTAATTGCTTAGCAATTCTAATTGTGCTTCGACCATCTATATCATCATCATCATCATTTAGAAAGCGTGGCGCTTGTTCATTAACGATTTATTTGTAACGTTTCTTCTAAAGTTGATTCTGAACTGTCACCTCAACACTTTAGTAGTCGTCCGATAGGTCTTTTTCCGTGTGGGTTATTGTGACATATTTCTTTGTCTGTCGTTCAGTGTATCTCGATATAGTTCTTAGAGTTTCATCTCCGTTGTTCTCAGTATCCCCTTTACTATCGATGTGTGCTCCGTATCTCCATAAATGGTGTCAAACTTAACACTTATTCAATACGCAGATGATACAATAGTATTCGCGGGAACAATGGAAGGCTTGCAAAAGCTAATGGACAAAGTTACAGAGACAAATAAACAATATCGACGTGATATAAACACTGGCAAAACCAAACCAAACAGGAATCCAAAGAGTCTCACAATATAATTACCTTGGAACTATAATTAATAAATCGTGGAACAATTCCAAATCAGTGCAGAACTGGAAAAGTTAAAAGTGTACTGGGTTTTTCTGTACGGTGTGGAGTTGTGAACCTTAAAACAGGAAACCATATCTTTGAATGCTGGCAGTACAGGAGAATCTTGAAGATACCATGGACCCAGAAGGTTACTAATGAAGAAAAGTCACGGAGAATAGTCAACATCGTCAAATGCCGCAAACTTCAATACCTGGGTCACATCATGAGGAACAAAGGAAGCTATGAATTACTCCAGTATATCCTTCAGGGAAGACTTCCAGGAAGAAGGGCGCCAGGACGCCGGAGACTCTCTTGGCTATACAATCTTCGAGAATGGTTTGGCAAGTATTCCACACAACTAACCAACAAAATAATCATAGCCAGAAAGAAGAAGTGGTCCGCATGTTTTGTTCTGGACTTGCCTTACTATTACTATTACTGTATATATTTTTCCAGATTGGATGTTTAGGATGTCCCAATATTGCAGCTGCTTTATTTGTTGATTGAATGACATGATTCGCTCAATAATAGTATTTTCCCTTACAAGCTTACATCGAAGAGGTTCCTTAGCTATGGTCATACATTTGGTCTAGCTTTAGAAATCTGAGGGTCATATTTAATAGTAATTTGTATCTATATATCCCCATTTCTGGTTAATTTTCGCATTCACTATATGTAAGAATCTATCTACAAATATTAAAAGCATTGGAAAGGAGGGTGGAATAAAAAATCTGCTTTTGCAATGATCAGAGCATCTAATTTTAATGTGGAATTAGAATCACTATTTATATAAGTGTACAAGTGTTACGAATTGAAATTGAAACCTATTTTTTTAAATGGACATTTTGGTCTTTTAATTTTTCAAAGAAACTTCCACAGGCTACTGCAATACTTATTGTAAATCTTCTAGATTCTTCCTGCGTGGGTTTTTGTTGAGTCGAACTAGCTAACGTTTCGCCAATCAAGCTCTGAAGGAGCCAACAGGATGATTGGGGGAAACATTAGCTAGTTCGACTCAACACAAACCGACGCAGGAAGAATCCAGAAGTTTTATAATAAGTAGGACATTTTGGTCGTAAACAAGTCAATGATAAAATTATATTCCATGATCATAATGTGTTTTTCGATACGTAATGTAAAACACGACTTCGTTTGGCAATAGATTTGGGAAAAGTTATTTTCGGGTGGTAAAACTGTTGACATCAAAGATCTTTTTCGATACTCAATATATCATGAAAATAGAATTCATATTATGTTCAAAATTGCAGAATCATTTTCGAAACTGACGGCACAGGCACAGCATAATTTATTCTTGTAAAAAAATGACGCCATTTGCTCAAGCACTTCTATCAAACTGTTTATCAGATTCGAAGCTCATATAAAATGCCTGGTTCTTACTCGTTCGAAAGTCGATATTCTGCCTCTCTCAACTGTTCACGAAGTTTCATCATTTCGGTTTTGAAGACTCTTAAATGCCGTACGCTTTCAAAATTCGTTCGTTAATTTCGGTTAGTATGTGGAAAGTATTTAACATAATTAAAAGTTTGTTTTGAGTGCGGAAATTTGAAATGCGAGCTGTAACTATGAAATTCTGGCTCGCCATATTGCGTAGTTCCGAAAGTTTGTTAGAAAACTACGGTGCCACAATCATATTTGCTGGATGTGCTTGTGGTTTCGTTCTGTTACCGCTTTTGTTAAATAAATGTACGTTGCGTTAATTAGGATGGTGCTTAGAACAAGCGAAGTACAGATTTATTTACTATGTTTTCAGATTAATAAGTTATTTATAATGGAAAGGCAAATGGCCAAAAGCATCATGCTTCGTATTTTTGTATTTGTATTTTAAGGTGGATACCTAAAAAATAAAATATGGGGCGTCCAGTACCAAACAATGGCAGATTTTGAGAAAGGCCACTGAAATATCCTTTAGAGCAAGCGCGCCAATTTATTAATTTGTGCATATGTGTGAATAAAAAAAACTGCTTTAAATTGCAGCGTTAAATATGCAGTTAAACCGCCTCAGTTTGTTCTATTTTCTTTAATGTATGTTTAGTTAGTTGATCTTGGAAAAAATCTAGGCGAGAGATTGACCATTGAGTTAGGATACGATATCGAAACTTGGGGGTCCACTTTACACCATCTCATTGCATGACTTCGAGCTCATAAATGCCTAATAAATATAGTTCCATTTCAATTTATCATAACTTTCCTTTTAGCATATTTCAATTCTTGTTACAGGACTTCCTTCCATGAGGGATAGTTTGACGAATCCCATGCACGTATACGACGGAGATGATGCACTGATCACCTGCGTTGTGAGAAATATAGGATCCAATACGGTGATGTGGAAGAAAGAAGACAGAGAGCGCCACAGTACCAGGGTGCTGACCGCAGGGGAGAATAGAGTTACCGCTGATAAGAGGTTCGGTGTGTTGCATGACTCAGGTGAGACATCGTATACTTCACCTTCGACGTCAGAAATCACAGCGAACTGGTCTCTAGAATAAATTTTTACACCACAGTTATGGAAAAAAGCTGTATCAAATTCCTGCTATTTTTATCAGTGGAAGGTTATATGATATTAAAAATGATATTGTTTTTAAGAGTTAACTTTAGCTGACATCTGTGTGATATCTCCATATAAATACTTCATTTCTTACTCAAATCGTAAAGTGATAAAAATCAAAGGCTCAAATCCTGAACAAGGCTCGCCAATATACAGAAACAATCAAGTGTTTAATAAAATACTACAAACTATATTAAAGGGCACTACCAAGAAACTGTGTCATAACCTTAAAGAAAAAATAGAATATAAACTTATATTAACAAACTGTTTTATTTAATTTTACTAAAATATTACTTTTTTTTTTCTGTTACTGTTTTTGTAAGGCCACGGGGTCAGTTTATTATTAGTTAAGAGGTCTGAAATAAATTGTTATTAAAAAAATGTATTTCAGGAAAGGCTTATACAATCAAATCATAACATGTATACCTTTTTTTAAGTAGTAGATGTTGAAGAATAGGATTTTTTATCTGAAGGTTAATTATACCGTGTCTCAAAAATCTTATTATAAAAGTTTACTTTGACACTGTGTTTCTTTTTTCGGCAATCTTTTGAAACACGAAGATTTTTTTTAATTTTCGTAGGCTAAAAAACTTATTTGAAAAAATTATTTCCTAGGCAAATTTTATATTTACTCCATTCTGTATATCATTTTTTTTATATGTTTAATAATTCTTGATTTGAAAGAAACCCTCCGGTTTTTAAGTTGAAATATCCATTACCACGTAATTGCTTCAACGATCATGTTTACAAAAAATAACTGGACGTGCCTTTACAGGTAATAAATATCACGTTGGGTTAAGTGCCTATGAACTCGACGAGGCTAAGTTAATCTAAACGTATTTTTCTTTTTTTCGTTTTATTGACTCATTTTTCAAACCGATGGCGGGACGATGAAAGCAAAATTACGAGAACCCTCTCCGAACTTCTGCTCTATCCCATCTCAGTATTAAAAGAAAACAAGCTCTTTTTCTTATTTAAGTGGCCTCTTCTCGTATTATTGAGTCTTCCGAGAGATATAGGTTGTCCGTAAACGAAAAATGCTTGGAGATCACGCTAGGTTGATTTTGGGGCGTATTCGGTGGTTATATGCCTCTTTTATGGATATCTACGAAAGATAAACGGGGACTTACTGTTGAATTGAGTTTGTCAAACGAGGTATATATTCAATCAGCAATAGCGAAGATGAAATTTTACTGTGCGAAATCAGATCCTACATTCTATTTCCTTACAGATTTTTTTATCATAAAAAATACGCTTTTAAAGATATTTCAGGTTGTGTCGAGGCATCAGTGAAAAAGATATATTACAAAATAAAATCCATAAAAACGAGGTTTTATTTTGTTTTCTGAGCTTTCTATAAATCAAGTTTAACACTGCAGACCTCTTACTCATCTATTTCAACGACAATTTTTATCATATATTTTTGAACTTAAAAATCAATTAACGAATTTTTTAAAGTCAGAGAAAATATTTTTCTGTTACCGGTAAAACCAAATCAAATTGTGCAAAAGTAATACTAATAGCGTTCATCACCAATGCAATGCAATACACGTCAGTATAATTGTCCACAATCAAACCGATAGCATTAAAGCGAGTTCGTTCGTCTTCTGGGACGTATCAAATGCCGTTAATGAATTTTAAGCTTTATCCGATGACGGTTCGGGGATGCTACGTCTCTCGCATATAAAGTGACGTCGGTTTATTTGAAAACTTTTCCCACATGCGGAGCGTTAAAGTGCAAATAACCCAGGAATTTATATTGCGGGTCTGTTTTAATAACCGAGGGGAAGATTTCTGAGAATTTTCTCACCTCTTGCTTTACTATTACTTATATTTCACTCTTCAAACCGCAAGCTGTAATTCTGTTCTATCAGAATTTTAGTATCTGCACACAATATGGAAGGTGTGAAAAAAATGCATAATAATTTTACTAATCTTTGAAGAAAATGAAGACAAATCCCAGTGGCCTCCACTACATCACGCAAAAAAAAACGCAAATTTTTGTAGGTAAATGAGAGTTTCTAAAGCAGTAGCCCAGTAATTTGGATGCCCTTGCCGTTAATCCGGAGTAAAACTAAACACAACACCCAGATCTCTAAACATATAGCTCTCCAAAGGCAGACTATTGAATGTATAGTCGAACTGCATAGGACTGTTATTTCAAGAAAAAGATAGTATTTTGTATTTGGCAACATTAAGAGCAAACACAGAGCAAAACTAACCAGATATGGTTCAATTAAAATCAATATATCATTCCAATATTCTGCAACTTAAGCAGTAACGGTTGGTAGTCAATTTGTTCAAATGCTTTCTGGATATATGTGTACACGACATCGGTTTTGGTCCACAACTTTAGGGATATATTGAGTAATATAAGAATAGACTGTTGAATACAGTTGAAAGTTATGCAGAATAATTTCAAGAAGTTTCCCAAAGTTGCAAAAAATTGCAAAACAGGTCCGTAGTTTTTAATATAAGCCTCTCTTAATTGAATATGACCAGAAATGTAATGCACCTATGCAAACTTTTGCACTGGAACTCGAGATATTGTCCAATCCGGCAGTCATTTTGGGTTTTGTTTCTTTGATGAGATGAGAACAATGCGAACGTCAACATTATTCAAAGACTAACAGTGGTACTAAAACTAGACTATAAGAAATCCGCAAAATCGTTAACTCAGATTGCTCAGATTGTTTTAAATCTTTCTTTAATTATTATTTTACTTTCTTTAAACTTAGGTAATTCTAAAACTTTGACATGACATCCTGCATCTCTCGAATATAGAGGCTCATGCAATTTTCTGCTTAATTTGCGTGATTTATGTTATGTGCCGTATTTTGACCTACTTGACGAAATGCATAATACACTGATTATATTCTAGATATATGGAATATTAATAGTATATTATGCAATAAGTGCGGTAAACGACATTTGTCGCAAAAAGTTTACCGAACGTGTTGCATACTATACTTTTTCTACGACCGTTAGTTTCGGATACATTTTTGCAAAATAACACGAATACATTCACTGACACAAGTATCAGAATTGACAAACGTCAAAATTCAAGCAATGCGGTAAAATATCCGCAAAAAAATCCTGTTTTTATAAAACACATGCGGAATGTCCGACGGTGCTCGGATCTGTGTGACAAGAAACTCACGTAAAGTGACGCTTCCCGCACGCTAGATCGGTGTATAATTGGGTATTTTGCAGAAGGGACAAGAAAAAGATATTATCATTATTATTATTACTATTATTGTGGGCAAAAATATTTTTGAAGACATCATAAAACTACTTTATTAGAGTAGAGTTGTCTTTTTCAAAATTAAACCTCATGTTACATTTATTCGACGGAAAATTTGTATCAAAATTCTAAAAATCAATATCGAAAGCGCGGTGATAAGTAAAGCTAAATCATATCATTAGTTATGAACCTGTAGTGAAGTTTGATTGATTGTTTTGCATCATCAAAATGAAGTCCACACAAATAAAGACCTTTGAATCCTCAGAAAAATACTTCAATTGCTGCAAAGTATTAAAAAATGCCACATAACCCTGTCATACCAATTTAAATAAATGGTATGCCTACACGGCAACAATACTCACTTAAATTGCTAATATTTCAAAAAGTTGACAAGTACGATTGTGATTCGATTAGTAATTCTATTATGGTATCCAAAATGTAAGTTTCTGATAAATCCCAATCAGGAAAATTGCTTTCTTCGGCTCAACTGATGCAAAAAAATTTCTAACAGTCACCAGAATACCATTATTTGTTACTTTTGCAGATTTTGCTGCCACCAACACGAAATGAATAATTGCACGGTGCAAATGTATTGAGCGATGATTAATAATTTAATTCGACACTTGAGGATGTTTCGGAATCCATTTCGACCGTTTTAAAAGTTAAACAAGTCTATTTACACTCTTTCTATTTTCAGGCAACGACGGGTCTAGCGAATTACCTTCGGGCGGCGACGTCTGGGTGTTGGTCATAAAAAATTCACGACTCACCGACTCCGGGATATACGTATGCGAGGTGAACAGCAATCCCATCGTCAGAAGTTTTCACAAACTGAGCGGTAGGTACTTCGCTTAAAGCAAACTTCAATCTATTAATTAACTACATCGAACATTCCAGTTCTTTCTAAGTCGATGGTGCCTGCTACTAACTTGACGACTGATATTATTCCATTCGATGATCCGAAAAGTATAGCCGTAAGAAACCATAATTATACGGATTGTTGTGTGTTACAAAATGTGTCATCGGGATGTTTAGGTTTCTGCAATATTCAAAGCATATTAGAAGGCATGTAGACAAATATTCAAACAATCTGTATTGTTTCAATAGCGTTCGATTTAAGGTAGTACAGGTCAGGATCCGGAACATTGCGAAAAAGATTTTCCGTCCATCGTCAAATGCATGGCCGATGGTAGAAACCACGTCCCGTGCTGCATCCACGAAAGAGTACCGGATATATGCCAGGATGTGTGCAGAGGCGAATATACAGCTATCACGGAAAATATAAAAACCCATTTCTCATGCTCCGCTTATACAGAACAAACTTTGGCTTGTATCGTGGAAGGAATACGTAAGTTGCTGCTAATGGACACTGTCGGATCGCTTCTTTATTGCATCTTATTTTACCAGAGTTATTGCCGAGTCCTCCAGAAGACGTCGAAGTTGACGCACTTACCGAGAAGTCTATCCGAGTGGAATGGTCGCGTCCACGATCTAACAGTCAAACCATCACGCAGTATATGGCCAATTTAACGGCTCTGAGAAGTTTCGACGAAAATTCCGATTCATTCGAGGATAACACCAGCGGCAACAACACGGTTACTACAATAATTCAAAGCGTAGGTTATCATCGTTGGTTAAACCAAGTAGAATTTAAGTAAACTTCTGCTCCAGGTTCCTGCAGATCAAAATTCGTCAGTTTTCAATGATCTCACCCCGTTTACAATGTACGAAGTCACTGTCACAGCACATAATTTAGTCGGATCTTCCCTTCCAAGTTACGCCATTAGAACTCTCACTCTAGCACCAGGACAAGTTAAACAAACTATGGTCGGCCATACGCCGGCTCTACCTGATATACGAAGCTGTTGTGCCAATAAGGGTGAGAACTCATCTTCACGAGATCTTCCGTATTTACAGATCCTCGCTTCCGTAGGTATCACCCACAAAACATGTCTAACTAAACTTTGCGACCCCATAGAGGCGGAGTCTGTTGAAATTACCGACATGATGATCTGCGCTCCTTGGGCCCAAGACACATTCGGCTGCCTTACTAACGGTATGGATCACACGTCTTGCTGCCGGACCAGAGGTCTTCCGGAAATCTGTCAGCAGTTGTGCACCGGAAATGTTTCGAGCATCGATTTTAATTATTTCAAGTATGCAGAGTTATTTCATGTGAGATATCGGTACCAGCGTGTTTTATTTGAAGATGTCTACGGTACATGGGCGAATACACAAACTGCCTTCTCCAGGGATATGGAGTGCTACCCAGCGCACCCACTCAAGTTCACATTTCCAACGTGGGGACTGAATACGCACTTTTGTACTGGTCCGCGCCAAAAACTCTAGGAGATACCGTAAAAAGCTATAATGTGCACACTATGAAAGTGAATTCTGCAGATGAGGAAGAGGAAGAAAATCACCGAGTGAGTGTATAATAGTTGATGCAGTAACGCCAATCTAAATTGTACTATTGTAGGTAATAAACAAAGCGCAGAGTCCGTTTGTAATTGAAGGGTTGGAAAGTGTCACTGACTACGAGGTTTACGTTGAAGCAGTTAATGCACACGGGGTTGGCAATCCAAGTCCAAGGCTGATATTCAGAACGGGAAGTAAGGTAATAACATATTTCCGGTTAGTATACGAACTAGCGTTTTAGGTCTACTTTAATGAAACTACTGATATTATTCGTATTAAACTAACTAATAGATAGAGAAAAATTGCTAATAACGGCAAAATTTTCTTAGCTTTCAATTAAGCTTCCCGAGCTTGTGAAGAAAAATTCAGTACTTTTGATCTGAGCCTCGATGTACGAAAATCTTGTAGGGGTCGTTGAATTAGACAATCATCAGTTAATAGTTATATCGGCATCATAGTCGTAGTAATTGGTATTTGAGTATAATTATTTTTTTTATATGGAAATGGAAATCTGGAAATCTAACTGTTATTCTTTTATAAAAATTCCTAATAATTAACTCAAACTTGTTTATTAACCGGCTAACCATTCCCTTTCAGATAGAGGAAGAAAAAATCGAAGAAGCTTCTCTTTATAACGTTACTGCGTGTTGCGTGGAGGCGCAGCTCAATAGCGTGTGTCTTCCTCTTTGCACGTACGATGCGAATATGAACGATATCAAACGTTTGGCGGTATGCGGGTCTGAGTTCCACACCATACTTCGATGTGCGGCCGGTGGAAGGAACCACGGGACTTGCTGCAGCAGAAGAGGCGTTCCGCCAGCTTGCTTATCGTTATGTTCGGGCGTGATCGTAGATTCATTACGGACCACAGCTGCCAATTGCGTCACTTATATTGGAAATATTGTACAGTGTTTCGAAGAAGGTGAACTGAGTGGATATTTTGATATCGATCAATTACTTTTGTTGGTTTACAGGGACAGGCACATTACCAGGTCCAGTGACGGCTCTCCATGCGATTTCTGTAGACCAGGCCAGTATTCTCCTCGAATGGTCGCCACCGGAAGATGGCGCCAACGTAACCGATTATGTGATACACTACCAAAAAGTAGATAATACGTCAATGTACGAAACCCTATTAAAACTAGATCAAGTAAGCGTCGTTGGTGAATCGAAAGCAAGTTTTTTGCATCAATTTTGTTTGTAGCAAATGAATACCACAGGAACCTCGACAACATTAACGGGACTGGAAGAAAATGCTACTTATCACGTTTTCGTAGTATCAAGAAACCATCATGGAACCTCCCTGCCCTCGTCAATAGTTGTCATACAGCCGACGAAATCAGATGATACTAAATGGGTAAACGCTGTACCATCGCCCCCTCACTCTTTAGCAGTGGCCAGCCACAGCGCTACCTGGGTTACGATCAGTTGGCAACCGCCGGAATTTAGTCATCCGTCGGAAATAATAACCTACAGGTAATTACGTTGCTGCTTAACTCAGCCGAAGAGAGTTCTGATGCTTGTTTTCCTCATTTCCTAGGTTGTACTACAAATCGACCGCAGATGAAACCTACCAAATTAAAAATGTAACGGTGACTACTTATATGATAAAAGATCTAAGTCCCAATACTCAATATATTATATACGTCGAAGCATCTACCGACAAAGGGGTGAGCATGCCATCGGAAACACTCATCGCTTGGACAGACCCTGCTTATCCGGCATTTGTGGAGGTGAGCTATGTTGTTGTGACGTTTGATATGATCTAGCATAGTTGACCTGTGATTTTTTTGTAGCCACCCACAGTTCACCCGATAAATTTAGTCATCGAGGGTAGCAGCATGACTATCCTGTGCATTGCTATGGGAAATCCAATGCCAACTATTTCGCTGTACATTTCTGGAAGGCTGGTGAGGCAGGATACTACCCGACACATGGTCACGGTAATTCATAACGTAACCAGGGATATGGATCAGATTTCATGTTACGCTGACAACGGATACGGAACGCCAATGCAGGCTTCCAGGAAAATTATTATTAGTCGTAAGTAAACCGTTTGCAATTAAAAAAAGTTATTTGCCGTATTGTATCTTCATCGTATTTGTTTTCGACGGAGCCTCCCCAATACAACTTTAACGATGTTATTACCTATTGTTATTGGGTAAAGCTATTAACAAAAAATGTGTTCTTACTTAAGTGACAATGCAGGAGCGGGCAGGTATATTTATTTCTTTCTGATATATTTCTTGAGTGTTGGCCATTTGTGCCAGTGTTGAATAATCGTTTTTACTGTGCAAAACAAGTTGTGAAAAATGTGTTTGAAACTTTATTTAGTAGAGGATTAATAGAGGAGAATTGAAGAAAAGAAATAAATGTAATGATTTTCAAACTCACCGTATAGACAATAGTGATCAGGACCTAATAGGAAGAAAAATATATTGTTTTTATCAAAGCGAAGTTGTTCCTACCTTGGATAAACTGAAAAAGAAGCTAGAAGAAGATGAAACCAATATAAATATAAGCCATGCGACTATCTATAGAGTTACTTTTTACAAAACTTCTGAATTCCTCCTGCGTTAGGGCTTAAAGAAGCCAACAGAATGATTGGCGAAACGTCAGCAATTTCGACCCAACAAAAACCGACGCGGGAGGAATCCAGAAGTTTTGTAAAAAGTATTACAGCAGCCTGTGGAAGTTTCTTTCAAAAATCTATAGAGTTGTTTGTAGAATGGAATTGAAGACCGCAAAATAGGCAAGTAGTAATTGAATCACACAGATTATGCACTTGCAGATTTAATTACATTCAAGAAATTAAAAGATATATAGATTAGACGACAGATCCATAATTTACCTCGATGAACACACGACACTGTATGCAAAGGAATTTTTTGATTCCATTCAAAACTGTGACTAAAACATCTTCGCATCACCATAATACACGCAGGGCCAGAAGACGGATTTGTCACAAACTGCTGTTTTCTGCAAAGAATATTAAGGATTCTAGCTTGAATTATCATGAGGATGCAAGTGCCGAACTTTTTGAAAATTGGTTTCAAAACAATATTTTCAAAAATATTCCCAATTAACAATATCATCGTCATGGATAACGCAAGCTACCACAGCCTCCCTCTAACCAAAGCACCGGCCCTATCAAGTTCAAAAACTGAAATCCAGGAATATTTGTTAGAAAATGATATTTATTTTGAGTTAAGGTACAAAAGAGCGCAACTTTTGAAGTCCTAGATTCATATGCAATTAAAAAACAATATGTATACGATAATTTGACTGAACAGGTTAGAGCCGAAAATTTTACTCCAACTTTAAGTGAGAGTGTTATAAATTTCATATAAAATGTATTTAATAACATAATAATTGAGAGCTGGTAAAATTCAGGACCTCATATTATAAAAATTGAGGAATTTTACATTTCTCTACAAAACAATATAATTCCTATCCCAGTGACGACGCCGATAGTGAAACAGAATTAGATTTAGACATTTAGAATAAAAATATAATTATGTTCCTAGCTATGAATTCGTTGTATATATTTAATGTCATTGTTTATTCTTAGTGTAATTTAATGAGACCTTGAAGATTGAGACAGACTATATTTGTCTTTAATTGTTACCTAAGATTTGATGACAATGAAAAGTTAAAACTTTAAATAGTAAATTCACCCATTCCCACGTTATTTCCCCTTTATTTTAGTGTCAAGCATAGAATTCTATGAACATCATGGTTTTAGTAGCTTATTGAAGATAGAAACTTATTGAAGTGATCCGTTTTTTAGACAAACCAAACATCCAAGCAAGCGGCATCACGATGGCAACAATCGGAGACTCGGTAGTATTGGAGTGCAAAGTGGAGGCCACTCCTGAACCAAAACTAATCTTCTGGAAAAATTACGAAGATCGTATGCCTGTCATACAAGGAGGAAAATACGACGTCTCAATCTCGAAGGCCAAAGACGAGGACGACAAATATGTCATGCATCTAACAATAAAGCAAATAACCGAACTAGATGTCGGCGAGTATTACTGTCACGCAGAAAATGCTTTCGGCAGCGCAACTCAGCCCGTATCGGTCAGGATAAGGAGTTTAGCGACCATAACCAATGTAACGCAGTGTTGCATGGAACAGAATGTCTCTACGCCATGCATGGACGCGTGCTACTTCCACTTGGACATCGACGCAGTTATCGACAAGCCAGAATGTATCAAGGACTTCGACAAGTTGATGAAGTGCGCGGCCGATGGCTCGGATCATAGGAATTGCTGCGCACATGCCAACGTGCCCAGGAGGTGTTTGGATTGGTGTCGAGGAGAACCAATTTTGTCTCACAAATCCTGTGTGTTGTCTCACACCAAACATATTATGAACTGCTTCCACGAATTAAGGTAGACCTACATACTAATACTATCTGATAGCATTTATACAGACACGGTTATATTATCTGAACATTTCTTTGAAGTCTGTCACTCTCACTGTATAGAAAAACATATTATTTGTTACTTACCTACTTGGATGTAATTAGGAATATTCGAATCATTTTGGGACGATATACAAATGAACAAAGATCATTCACGAATAATAAATTCGAAGGTAAAATGAGTCACTTCAGAAGCCCATTAGTTTACTCGATGTTGTGAAATTTCAAATTTTTCATTTTAATTTTCTTCTTAGAGATAAGCTACCGGGACCGCCACAAAATATTAGAGTTGAATTTGTCGACTCTCATTCCGTTTACATTCTGTGGGACCCCCCACTGAAAAATCCCCACAGCGTCGAGATGTACAGAGTCTTTTGGAGGGCGGTGGATTCTCCTAACAGATCTAGTCAAAAAGGTGACACATCGGAAACTCAACTGAAGATCAGTAATCTGAAAGGTATATTACTCGATGTCACTATTGCATTGCCTAACAGATGTTGTTCCAGACGGTACGACCTACGAGGCGGTAATTAAAGCGGGAAACAGCAAAGGTACCTCCACCTTAACGGACCCCATTAAGTTTACCATGGGTGAGAACTCGCTTTACATCACTCCAGCCGCTAGTCAAAGTACCGAAGGAAGTCACGTGGGAGTAGCTGTAGCTGTAGTGCTAGCTCTAGCGGTCGTAGCCATAGTCATAGCAGCCGGAGTGTGGTTCGTGCGAACGAGGCGAATGCTGGGCATCAAGGGTTCTGGTGGAATTGCTTTTGAAAATCCAAGTTACCTCAGAGAGGTTAACATGGATCATATACAGGTAAGGTGCTTCATTGACATTCTGATTCCTATTGACGAGCAGCTGATCATTAAGGTCCCTCAGAGTCAGCTGAACGATTCCGCAACGGCTTTGAATGGTACGGCTAATGGTAGTTTAGCCATTTCGGCAGCGTCGGGTGGACCAGGATGGAAGAACGAACCGCTTCACGTACCGGCTGCCCAAGAAGTCAACCCGACGCTCTACGAAGAACTCAAATTGGGACAAGATGGTGCAGGATTTAAGCGACTGAAACCCTAGTATGAGGGTCAGACGGGCCGTGGGGGACAAGAATCGCGGTTTTAGGTTGATAGGGACATTTTTTCGTCTTACCCAAGTACACTCATTGTGATAGTTTGTAGAGAGAGAGATTGTTGCAGTTTGTGTTGATTGTGCCCTGAAGTTGGATAAATCCTTGGTAATTATTGTTGTGTGCGCAATTATGCAAACAGCAGCTTTGCAGACCAAATTGCTTTGTTTAGCTCAGATGGCCCACAACACCATACGAGTTTTCAAATTTAGGTTGGGTATTTTAAGTCTGTCGACTAAGTAGGTCATTTCCGGGTCATCTTCAGGGCACGGGTATTGTATATGTTATTTTAATTAATATTCTTGCAATACCTCATTATGTAGCATATTAATTTTATTGTTTATGTTAGGTCGTAAGAGAACAAAATGTGATTTAAGTTTAAAAAAAAGGAGCAAAATATAATTTTGGGAAGCCAGATAGGAAGCGGTCTCCATAAAAAAATAAAATATTTGCACTGTATAGAAATAAATATTGACAAAATAGCGTATATTAAACTAGCGAATAGTAGCAGTATTGATAATATAGTTTTAGACGAAAACTGGCCGAGTGGTAAACGTATGAAATGTATATTATTAAAATCTCAAGGAACATTCGGTCGGCTTTTGAGATGTTATACTGTTCAATGGTTTGAGTTGAAATCACTGTTTTATGCCGCAGAAAATTTGTTAACAGATTCGGAATCAAAGTACCAACCAATCAATTCGGGAGTTCGTATACCAAAATAAACATATCAGCCGTCACGAAAATGTTATTCCTTCGCTATGTTTATGTTTGTCGAAAAAACAGCAGTTTTAATGTAAATTAGTGTGGATTTATCACACGAGTGAATGTGCCTTTAATCAACTAAATGTAAACTGTAAATTTGTACTTTGGTTATAATGTTGCTTGAGGTAGTTCGTTTGTAAATAATTCCCAGAAGTTTGTAATATATATGTCTCACTAATAGTGATGAACTAGCGTATAGCGAAATAAAATATGTCCCAAACAATAATTTTTATTTTTCCACCACTCGATAGCTTCAAATCTTCTTCAAACTGGAGCCAACAGATTGGATACAAAAATGATTATTCTAAGCTGCAAAGGATATTGAGATTTTTGACCTATATTATAAAGTTCCTGCCTTTTCAACAGCAAATTTGTCGAATTTCCACAGTCAAACCGTTGCCTAAGAAAAAAAATTATGTAACTCTAATTGGCCACGTGAAAACTCACTTTTTTTGCTTTATCACAAAACTTGACCATCTCTAAAGTTAAAGCTTATAATAAGAACTTTTCCTAACCTTCACTCTAAAATCTGCTCGGACGATTAAAACGTAAACTTCATTAAACACTGTCGCGAACCAATCCGAGCGGGTTAGAAGCGATCGCATGTTTTACCTTCAAGTAATATTAAACATATTAGGAACTTTTATTATACTTGCCTAGGTGTTTTATAGAAATATTACGCTTGCAATAAAATCTAAGGCGGTATTATGTGATTTACAAGTGACCAATAAGGTGTCGTTGTGAAGTTTGGAATATAATATTATGAAACATGTACTTTGGTAATTAAAAAAGTTTATAATTATTATAAAAGTTTAAGTTTATTATTAACCTCTAAAATCTAAATCTAAATACCTTAAATTAAAAATTAAGAAAACTAGGATTAAGCTTTGGCAGTCAGTTAACGTTTTGAGTTGACAAATATCATGAAACTCAAGCAGATATTTCCTAACCAAAAAATTTTAATCTTAAACTCCCTTTAAGTAAAGTAAAACTTTTTTTTCAATAACCATACCGTAATATTCCATAATAATCATAGTCAAATTGGTGCTACCGAGGGATATAGAATAATATCCCTATGCATTTTAGACCATGGATGTGCACAGTTAAGACTTGTTGTCAGCCCATCGCAATTATTTTTTTCATTAAATCATTATTTTTCTCGTTATTTTTAAAATGACTTTTAAAAAATTAAATTATGAAAATATCAAAAACGTAAATTCAAATTACAAAATTTAATTTGTTTTAGTATTAATGGTAACAAGTTTTTTTCCACTAACACTACAAAAGGTTTCCGACCGACTGATTGGTTTGTCTGCCAACCAAGGAAAATTTCTCCAATTCATTTTGTTTACAAACATTTTTAATATTCGTTAGTTCGCCAATAGATCAGTCAATCCAAATTACAACCGAAAGTGACTTACCAGTGCAACTTTTACCATCGCAACCAGTTTTGGCTTTTAATTCACTAATTCACTATCTTCGAAAAAAGTTACATCTTCTACGCACGTTTTTCGATGTCACCATTTCATTATTTAGTTATTTTGCAGTAGTAGCCTCGAATGACATCTATAGTTTAATATTTAGTTGCGATTGTCTTTATCACACCAGCTACGAAAACTTGCATTCCTTACATTACATTGTATGAAATTTCTATCAAAATAGTATCACAGTGTGATTCGTTCATACATAAATTTTCTCACCAACTTTTAATTACAACCAAAAAATAACTACAATAGACTTTTAAACAAGTATGTCTCAATGCAATGCTCTCAGATGGCGGTGTTTTTGCGGTTCGACTCTATTTTCACTTTACTCAGTAGAACATAGAGATGATCTTGTAAGTTTCGCTTCGGATTTTTTTACTGGCACCTAACACTGGTGGTACCTTAACAGTAGTCAAAAATTGATTTATGCTTGTTAATGCCATTCTGGTATTTACTAAGATTTAATTAAATTTTGGATCTTTAAACACGTAACCAAAGATCGTTTAATTTTGTTCGGTAGACTGATTTAAACTAACCAAAACTCATGACCTTTCCGAGAACTATGTAATTAGGTCAAGTGTGGGTCAATCTTCATAAATGTGCTTTGTAGTTATTTACTATTTCTTGTCATTTAGGGAAATTAGAGAAATTTCTGACGTCTCTGAGCGATATTTACAATGGATATATTACGTATTATGTAATGGGTGGGTTGTAAACTTTTCAGCTATAAAGATTAATTTAGAACTAGCATTATGTTGTTTATCGTCTAACTTATCCATCTAGATGTTTGTTTCTTGTTACTAATTAATTGAAATCTGTGCAGTTTGTAAACAAAACACCAACCGAGTCATAATGGTACCACGTAAACGGTATTTCGGGTTAGATTTGATTAGTTTTATACCATAACCATGCCAAATAGGTTTAGCAATTTATTAATCAAACTAACATGAAATATGTCCCCAAACGTGGTCATTTTACAACGTTGCTTTGTTGGATAGGTATCCTGATAGTCGGTGTGACAGTAAGATGACTTTTATACGGGGTATGGTCTGTTCATAGATATAAGAAAGTGACCAATTGCTTTTGAATGGGATTATCCAAGGGTGGTCATTAACATACAATGCAACAAGATTATTACCCAAAGTTTCGGAATTTAAATTCAAGTAAAATTGTGGTCCGTAATAGAAAATAATTTTATACCTACCTGTGTTTAATATTCTTTGGTTTGGTATACTACTTAGTTTAACTTTATTAGTAATCATTCTTATTTCGTGTGTAATACAGCGTTGTGTTGAATCGTGTGTGAATTATGCAAAATAAGTGCGAGTCTAGTGTATCTCAAGAGATGCTCCCGCCCAAATGCAGAAAACACTATTCTATTGAGACTAAGGAAGTTATAAACAATGTTTATTTGACTCTGAATGTGGTGCCAGCATGTAAGCATCTTTAGAAGAAACGGCCACATTGACGAAAATTCCAACATCATCTGTATGGAAAATTGTGAGTAATCTCATTTCAGCGAGGAAAAAAGAAGCGATGCTGACATTTTCTCGAGTGTAGATGAAAGTGATCAAGATATAATACGGCGTAAAATTTACCATTTATACGGGGAACAAAGCGTGCCTACATTAGATATTTTAATTAGGAGGCTTGAAAAAGATGAAACCGGTGTTAAATGTGGTTTACCTTATGGAAGTGTATTCAACACATGGGTTTTAGATTTTAAAAAATTGACAAAAGGCAAGTTTTACTGGAATCTTTTAGAATTCGGAAATGGCGGCTGGAATATCAAGACAAAATTAGGCTTTACAGAGAACAACAAAGGCCAAGTATTTACTTGGATGAAACCTGGTTCGACACTTATGATACCCCGGAAAAGGGTTGGGTTAACTCAACTGATAAGTGTAAAACAAATGCGCCATCAAAAAGAGGTAAAAGAATAACTATTTTGCATGCTGGCTCTAAATATGGTTGGATTCCAGATGGCCTTTCTCTGTCTGCGAAAAATATTAAAAATTCTTCTCTGGATTACCATGAAGACACCACCGCTGATATATAACAACTAAAGAAATATTGTTCTGTGCTAATAAGTGTATTTGTTACATTTATTAGTTTAAACAAATAAAGGAGATTTCTTCGAAAAAATTTTTAAAAAAGGTTTACAAAGGTTCAAGATATGCAAAAGTGTAGTAACAGTGTAAAATAATAGTTCTGTTCCTTGGGAGCTGATGTAGGGGATTTTAAACTCCTATTTAATTTCCAAACATGTTGTTTACTAAATGAAAGGGACGTGATTATTTGAAGTACCAGTAGCCGTTATACTGCATCCTTATCAAACGTTCTATAAACTACTCGGTTGGATGCGAGAACAGAGAAGTGAAAAGCACTACAACGTACCCGTCCCGTAACTCGTACTGCGTTTTATATTATATCTGCAGCGACATCGGTGAGATATAAAAGAGGAAGAAAAAAAACAATTACACGGAGTGTAAATCAAAAGAAGTACGACACCCGGGTACCGCTTCATTTCGCATAGTGTTTGTCCGAGCGTGACGTCACAGTTTCCTTTATTCACGGGATGTCGGTTTTTCTATGAAAAACTGTACCGCGCGTCGAGAAACGGTGCGTTTCATACTGCGGGCGCAGAAAATGCAAAAATTGACATCAAAGCAGTACCGGAAGTCTAATACAAAGTTATACATGCGATTGTTTTCGATCTGGGATAAAAAAGATGCACTGCGGAGAAGCATTGTGTTCCAAACAATTTTTAGAATACCCAATTGAAAGGAGGGACTAATAAATATACTCGTACGGCGCTTTCGGTTCCACCAGTACCGAACTAAAAAAGCACCAAATGCACAAGTCCATAAGGATCACCATAGGGCCCAATGCAACTTTAGTCGTCAACAAGTCAGAGAAAACTATTTAGTGCAAATGACAATGATACAGTTCGCCAAAGCGATTGGTAATAGTTTAATTGAAAAGATTTGTAGGCGGTTCTCTCTCTCACACTCTGATCATCGCATAATTCACCCGCAAAAGAGGGTAAATGAATTGAGAATTAAATTTAATAACAAAAGGCTCCATTTTAGTGATAACTGAGTAGAGTGTCAAAGTTACGTATTAACACAATTAAAATCAAAAATCCAAAAAAATCGCAGCCATGCGATATGGTGTTTTTTTTCTGAAGTTGGTGAAGCCCCACTGAGAGTATTTTTGTTGATAAAAAAATGTGACGTTCTCTTTGTGCAAAACTAAAATCCCATAACAATTTTTGCATGTAATTTGTCTTTGTCAAGTCGTGGCATATAATTTAAACACTAAAAGTATTCATACCAACCAATACAAAGTAAATCTACAGTTTGAATGCTCCACTAAGTCTGCATCATGCAAGAACATTTTTTTGATCCTGCCGATTTCGATAAGATCCCAGTCAGAATCTGCTTTTTCGCCTCTTATTAGACCCAAATCTACCTTAGAAAAGCAGATATGTACTTAAAACCATTCTTTTTCTGACAAATAATTGGTTTTCGCTCTTGATTTCGAGCAGATTATAGTCAAATCCAGCATTTTCATTACTTACCGGATTGAAATCCACTTTAAAACTGCACATTGCTACTTAAAAACCTACATTCTTGGATTGATAGGTTTTCTTCCATTATTCAAACAGATTCCAGTCAAATTCGGCACCTCCGACTCATATCGTACCTACGGAAAAATTTGTGCATGAATACTAATATCAGTCAGTCAAATCAAAAGTTGCCTTAATTTGCCAAAATTTTCATTTTACAAATTCCTACAAATGTGCCAGTTCTACAAAGTTAGACTGGCAAGACAATACTTTAATGAAGTGTTTATGCTTAAGTTTATTCTGGAGACATTTCTAACAGAATATTCAAAAGCACCAATGGAACTCGTCAAAGTTCAGGCAGTTTTAAATTTTTGCAGTTTTGAAGTTTTAACAAATTAAAACCCAACAAAGTTTAGTTGATTTTATCACAACTCAGAGAAGTAACCGAATTAAAAAATACAATAAAGAAATATTTAAAAAATGTAACAAATGCGGATCTAAGTGATAACACTGCAAAAATGTTCTTCATGTTTTTATTTTATTTGCTTAAGAATTTCAGACTTTCCCATACCATGTTGATGCTATTACCGATGTAAATATAGGTATTGCAACTAGCAGAATTGCAAGCTCGGGCAAGATTGTATGCAGCAGTCGACAAAAGTTTTGCAATATCCACTCAAAGGAACAACTCAACGGACGTTTCGGATGCCATTAATACTAGGAACTGAAACAGTAAAGCACCACCAAATGCATAGGAACAAAGTCTTAAAAACAGTGGTTATAGGTATGAGGTACATCACGAAATTGATAAAATTTGAGAAGTATAAGCATACTAAAACAATAGACCCACTGAAATTTCTGTAGAACACTTTAAAGTAAGCAGTTTTGAACTATACAATGTATAGCTTTCAAGGAATTAAGGGTTTGATTGTTGAAAAAGAAAAGTCTCAATATCAGCTGCCAGAATTTTAAATTGTTTGCGCATATCCTACAGTCCATGGAATCATACAGAATAATATTTCAGACAGTTTCGAACTAAACAATGTCTGCCTTAAAACAACTAAACATGGAATTAAATCTTTGAATGTTGGAAAAAGGAAAGTCTCAATGCCAGCAAAAATTTAAAATATGCACGTTTCATACAATCCACACGATATTTCGCAGTTCTCTTAGAGAAAGCGATAAAATATGTATTATTTATTATGCAGTTTTTATTAGAAGAAGATAACCGTTAATAGAATATCATCCAATTTTTTTTGAACGACACTTTCGTGACAAGTGTGTTTAGGCATCAGCATAAAGGGTAAAATGCCATGAGTGGCTAAAATCTATCGAAAACATAACATCCCATAATAGAGTATTTTAGACCAAAGAAGATTAGATCAGCCATCATTCCCTCGTTCTCAAAACTGTACCTCGGCAACATTAGTCACCATCCAATTTTCGAGCGGATTGGAGCGATATTTACGCTATATTTTAACTCCATAGCTATCAAATAAACACCTCGTACAAATTACTTTTAATGAATAAAGGCAGCGTAACATTGTACGTGTTTTTGGGGTTAAAGATGAAATAAAAATTGTCCAAATGTGCACTTCAACGGTTTCTTGTGGAGTTCCGAATAGACCAATTCGTACCTAATTAGATGCCTCGGAGACTTCCACTTCCACACAGGTGGGTCAACAGGTGCCTCAAGTAGCTCCGCCGTATTTATGCTGCGTTGCCGCTACTGCCAACCCATCAGCAAATTTATGGACTTTTCCATATTATTAGATTTTCCTACGCATTTAATCTTAGACCCACGCCCTAATCATAGACTTGTTCAAATTGCTCAACTTTCGATGTTCACAACAGCACTGAGACTACCATCATTAGAAGTTTTCCATCTTGCAACTTAAGTCAAGAAGTTATCCTATTGCGCAAACTACTATAACACACCCATCAGAACCCCGGTAAATAGAAGCTAAACCCGAATGAGTAAATATTTTCTTCTCCTTGATCCATCTTCTTCGGTATCTTCCATTTCCTTCGCTGGCAACGTCGACTTCGTGGTCTATCCTAGGCCAACCGCAATTTTGTCGCGGCCCGTGCATTTCCTTGCCGACTGCGATGAACGTCGAACTTGTCGGTTTCCACTCGGAAAAAGACGCACTCGCGCGGAATCCTTAGAAGGCCGCGACGAGAGATCCTCTCACGTGCTTTTCATCTCGCGTTTGTTTTTGTTTACGTAACCGGTCGTTATAAGGACGGATTGCCGGGAAGCGGAATTTGGTTTTATTGTGAGGATTTTAGTAAATGCTAACGAATGAACAGTGAAGGAATTCGGATTGATCTGAGGACGTATTAGAAGGGTGAGTGTGTAGAACGTAATTTACTAGAAAGTAGTTAGATTCAGTCCAAATCTAAAGTTTGTTTTTTTTTTTTTTTATTAATATTATCGGAGAAGTGATATCGTACTTTACAAACATTGACTTAGGTATTTTATTTAAAATTATTCGTCTTTAGCAAAAGTTAAATTGGTGTTACACTGTCATAGAAATTGAAATTGAGGAAGTGCAGGTTATTTTATGTAAAAAATGAGTAACTTTGTGTAAGTCCAAATGGCAAGGAGAATATTTACTCAACGAGATAGGATCGGAAGATATAAAAAGGCATAGGGTTAGTGCCTTATTCTTCTCAGATTTTTGCCAAAAACAGACAATTATACAGTGTTCAGTTCAGCAGTCGTATATTTGAGTCTCAGTATCAGAAACGCGAGGCGTTGAAGCTTCCGTTTTTAAAAGTGGGTAGTGAAAAAATCCTCGAAGCCACTAAAATTATTTTAATTAATTAAATTAATCATTTACTTGTAGGTCTGGGAAAGTTGTTTTTTTTTGTCAAAGATATAGGTTTGGCCAGTTTTCTTTTAACTAAAAATAAAATAAACTACAGAATAAAAGAATAGGTACATAAAATTATGGTGGTTTTACAACGCAACTTTTTCGAATTTAGATTGTTAAAATTTAGTTATAAAATATGATTTTACTGTTTATAATAAAAGTTTTTTTGAAGAGAAAAACGAATTATAATTAACATATGTAGGGTAGGTATGATATGCTACACCAAAAAATATTTTTCTGCCGAACATAATTATACTAAAACTTAATAAAAAAATCTGTTAACTGTAACCACCAAACTAACCTTCTTAGAATTTAAATCACTACTACGTGATTGTTTGTTTTCCGTATTGTTCAACCTTATTATTTTAAATTCCATACTATATAATCAGTTTATCAGTGTCAGTAGATCAGTCGCAAGCTTTTTGCGGTTACAATTATTGCTGAGTTTTGACCGTTTGTGTATGATTTCCCGACAAATATTTTGCAAGACAGAACATTTTTTTATTCTATGCGGGAAATTATTTTTAATTTTTATTTTTATTTATTATGATATTTAAAAGTAAATTCTTTTTTTATTATTTATTATTACAATTCCTTTCCCAATTAAATTACTCCCAAACACACGTGAAATACTTATCATAAATTTTAAAGTTAATGATGTGATATTCACATCTTGGTGAAAGTAAAATCGTTAGTAACCGGCCCATAGGCTTATTTAAAAACATTATTTTTCCTATTTAGGTTAGATATTTCATTAAATCGAATTAGAGTACTAAATTGGAATTCATTTTTTTGGAGTATTGGAACTATCCTTCTACACTATCAGTATTTGCAATTGCGCTCCTTTAATGTAAAAAAGAAATTGTACCGCGCTCCCCAAATAGAGATAGAATTGCATAACTAACATTTAGCTAATGGTAAATGAAGTTACACACGGCATTTCAAATGAAACGTTTGTATTCGTTGTCATTTAAAATATATTTAACAAATATTATCTAATTCAAAAAAATTATTCAATTTAATAAATAAACCTGAATTTATCATAAAATCATATGTTTTCTATGTTATCTGTCGAGTAGATAAACGAATAACTTCATTTTGTATTCTTGCTCTATGTCCATAACCAATCAACATTTCTATCTTGTGGGTTTCAGTTAAGCACTACAACTGATGAACAATGAATACTCTCCTCGCTCAAATGTGCGTGGAATGCTATGCTACAGTTCTGTTTTCTTTTAATGATAACGAAAATCTTTTTGATGTTCCACTTTTAAACTGTATTAAAATTGAATTAGACAATTTTTGTTGACTATATTTTAAATTACTAATAAATTGAAATTCGGAATACTTGTCTTCCATGATTTAACATTTAAGGAGAGTTAAACAACTAATTTTTCCATTTTAAAAAAATTACCTATGATGTCATATTTTAAATTTGGGACTATATTTTAAATTACTAATAAATTGAAATTCGGAATACTTGTGTTCCATGATTTAACATTTAAGGAGAGTTAAACAACTATTTTTTCCATTTTAAAAAAATTACCTATGATGTCATATTTTAAATTTGGGACACGGTTAATCACATTTTCTTACATCAGCCCATATTCATTCAATTATGATTCCGAGTTTGAGAGTTGGATGCTATGTTAACTGACAAATTTACTATTACGCACTGGATCTAAGACTTCAAACCAATACGTATTACAAGACATTTTTAAGAAAACTGCTTGTTTTTTTACGCTATAATCAAATAATAACTTTATTTTTGCTATTATGCTGAGACAAAATATTAAGAAAATGATTTAATTCCTACACTCGTGGTGAACACAACTGACAATAGACAAATTTATTATTTTCCTTGATAATTTTTTTTATATTGATAACTGTTTGTACATTTTGATTTATCATTTGTTTCTCAAACAATTGCAAACGATGTCTATTTTTCAATCTTTCTTCCAAAATGGCAGCAATTCGCTCCCTTCTATTTATTCATCTGGATTTTGATATATCGCTCGCATTATATGGGATGAGCAAGGAATCTTAAAATTCGTGGGTGGCTTTATTTCCGAAATAACGCCTGCCAAAATTTTAAAATACTTTGAATTTTTTAAAAATTCCTTCTCGACTTGAAATTTAGTACATCAAACAGACTTCAAAAAATATTCTTAACTATAAATCGTTTGTTAATACCTGCCGGGTGATACAGTTTTGGGGGCGGTGCTCAAATAAATAAATGGTAAATAGTTATGTTTCAGTTCATTAAAATTTTGTTCAGCTATGCCGACATGATATCCTTTTTCAATTGGCTTTTGCTCCGTTTAACAAATTCAAACTTTTTTTGGTGGAAATATCTTTTTTTATATTTTTAAATTCAATTCAAAAATATCTAAATGACCAAATAGCTTTGCACTTTAACGCAGAATGTAAATAACTGTTTACTAGGAAGGAAAGGCGTGCACAAATCATTTGAGTACGACTTCCAAAAAGTCACCCTGTCTTGATTTAAAAACGTTTAATGACCTCAAATAATGACTGTCAAGTGTAACTGCCAAAAAGCGAGATTTTAATTTTAGAAAATATCTACTTTAAGCTGTCCTGCTACATAAAACTGACTCACTAGTGTATGCAGCCCATTAGAAAAATATAAATAATTATAAAATAAGTCTTTCCACCTATTTCTACATTATTATCGATTTTTCGATTTAGTCGAATAAAACAAAAGAATTGGCAAATACGTTGTTAACTTTCAATACGTCATTGTGCATTATCATCGAATGTAGAACCCATACGTAATGGAATTCACCATATTCCCATCGAATTAATATTCGAGGAGATTTGTTTTGTTATAAACAATAATTATTAAAGAATACAATGAGGCTTCGTGATAATGATAACGATCTGAGTGTGGGGTATATTAAGTTTTTGCGCATGAAAATGAACGTCCGATTGTTTTAAAGTAAGTCACTTAGGCCATTGTTCGCGATAAATTCGTTTTTAATTTCGCCCGAGCGCACTTAATTAAATTAACAGAATTTATTTTTCTAATTGTGGATTAAAGTTGATTTCGTTTTTGAAAAAGGGAACGACGTGAATGTCTCCACGGAAACGAATTGTCGTTACTGTGTATTTTATTAGGGCAGTCAAGGAGAAAGAGGGAAGCGGTTAGCGAAATTAAATCGAACTGACTTTTACCATAATATTCTCCCGTTAGTTCGTTATATTATTATGGCGTATATGAATTACGAAATTAAGCCAAGTGTGGCAAAAATGCGTGCTTTCGTTATCTGATGTGGTCTTCGTTTCAGTGGCGCATCTAGTTTTTGTTCCCGATGCAATACTGTTTGTAAAAAAAAATACAAAATCACTGCCTGATAAATAACTTAGCAAATGAACTTTCTTCGAGTGCATTTCATCAATTCCTACGAGCAATAGTGTCGTCATATCTGGATTTTCGGAAAATTCCATTGAAAAATATTGCTCAACTTGGATTCTACAGACGCCGTAACCATCGTCCTATCTCTCTCTTACGTCTCTTTGCCAAGGTTTTTGAGGCTGCACTTTATTCACAGTTGTTTTTTCTGGTATAGAATGACATATATTTAAATCAACACTGTTTTCACAAAAAACTTTCAGTTCTTACAAACTTGGTACCGTTCATCCATACATACATGCTACTTCTTACAACTATTGCGGAAAGAACTCAGTTGGTTGTTGTCAATGGTAAAAAAATCTTGTTGTTACCTCGGGTGTCCCCCAGGAATCTCGTCTCGACCCTTTACTCATTAATGTTTTTTTCGATTTTGGCCTTTATTTCCCCTTTTCTGTTTATGTTTCTTTTGCCGATGGTTAAAAAGTAAAAAAGAGATTCGTTCCAATTTAAATGTATTAGAGCTTCAGAGTGATTTTGACAGATTTGCTGGTCATTGCAGAAACCACAGATTATTCTTAAATCTTGATAAATGTCGATATATTCTATTTACAATGAAAAAGGATTTCATAAATATTAACCTAAATCTTGATAGTAAACAGCTGAAACGAGTTAAGAAAGTAAAAGACTTGGGAATTGTTCTTGACTCACAGTTAAACTTCTGGGCTTTATTTTGAGAACTACCAGAGGGTTCAACAAGCATCTGTTAGTAATAATCGTGTATAATAGCATGATAAAGTCTCTATTAGAGTACTCATCCACAGTTTGGAATTCTCTGAGTAAATATATCATCAGAATAAAAAGCATACAAAAGTTTTTTTTAACAATTTAAACTTTAGATATAACAGAGATTGACACTTGTTCGTACGAAGAAAACTTAAAATTGTACAATTTGAAGTCGCTTGAAACTCGAAGACACTGTTTTGATCTTGCTTTTCTTTGCAAAGTTGTAGATAACCTTGTTTTCTTCTTTTTGTATAAATTACTTGAGCTTTAACGCAAATCCATATCAGGTGCGAACGAGACTGACATTTAGGTCGAATCACTTTTCTAAGTCTCCTGTTTAATTTAAGCCTTCGTTTATTTAAAACAGAGGTATATTACCTTCTTTAACTCGTAGTTATAATTTATTTAAATCTAACCTTTGCTTTCATTGTAGAGATATGAAATTTCTTGCTCACTTTCCAGGTTTTATTAAATAGTATAAGCGTATATTGTGCTATTCGGTAATTGGGTAGCTGCGTCTGCCTGTTGAATGGCCTGGAAATATAAATAAATAAATAAATAAATAATATAGAAATATCTATAGGTAATTATTTTTTTGGACTTAAGCTCATTGTATACACTCTAATGCGACTTGAATTCCTGGCTCACTCTCGCAATGAAACCCGACTAATTATATTGTTATCTTCCAAATAGTCTTTTACTTTGGAAAGGTCATTTTATTTTAAAAATAGAGAAGAATAGAGGACCCAAATGGCGACTCTTTGGAACACCAAGTTCCATCAACAAGAAAGCGTAATTTCATCACTCACCCATTGTCACCTGCCATAAATGTGAGCCCCTTGGTAAACTGAGAAGTTTTGGAGGCACTCTGAATTTATTTAAATTGACAATTTATGTTTTTGTTACCACAGAAAGAGATTTCAAGAAACAATTTTGACTAATGTTGTTTTGACAAGTATGACGGTATGACTCGAAGCTCACAGCTCCCTAGGAAATTGCCATGGTTCACCCAATCTAGTTCACATCTAGATGAGAGTATAGTAAAGCAGCCAGGGAGAAGGACATGCGATATCTTCTGGAATATTATACCTGCTTGATCCTTTAAGAATAACCACACTGACATTCTGTGGTCAATTCTCAGATAAAACGTATTCTATGTAGTGGATGTCTGCTATCTGTATAGATGTGGACAGTTTCGTAGGTAAGTTTTTCTGAAACCAGCAGTATACTGGGCATTTTTCCGACGACCGCGTTTACAAATTTTGAATTTGGATTTCCCTCTCTCCTCTAGAAATGTTAGTTGAATCACATGAGGGTTATAAGAAACAAGAAAATAAATTCGCTAGTTATGTTATATGTTGTTATATAAGCTAATTAATATATTTGAATTGCGGATTCTATATAGGTGTCCACATCTGCTTTAAGTTCGTTTTTAAACACCATTACGGCCCACAATTACTTGCAAAGTTCTGGTTGGTCTGAGGAAACAACGTTTTGACATTTTATCTGATAAAGTTGACTTAAACTAATTATACAAATTGCTTTTCACTTAGCGAAATATTTCAAGCTAAGCAAATTAAAATAACGTATTGCCCTCTAATTCACCGACAACGCCACTGCTCCATTTATTGTGGGCATACTACAGGCCACTGGCTTTCGTGTGCTCGGGTGCATTTTTGCTGCCGACCATATTCATTTTTAATTGCACATAACTGTGATTTCATGTCGGGGCAAATAGTTAATCAAGAGCGAACAATTATTATAATTGCCAGCAAATCCGTAACGACTGATCTCCTAGTTACAATAGTGCCTAATTGCAAAAAAAGTTTTGGACGATTTGTCGTCTTATTAGGTCTGCTGTCTGTGGTTCTTTCTGCGCCACGAGAACCAAACGAAAAGTAGAAAGCAACGCGGCTATTAAAAATTTTCATTAAACTTTAACGACCGAACTGAGTTTGAAATTGATTGAGTTTCACTCGCGTTGCACTTTCTCACAAGTTCGTTTTAATTACAAAAGCTTATTGCTCTGTAATAATATCGAGCTCTGTTGAAGAGACGGCCGGTGTGAAAAATTGGCGAATGATACGTTTTGGGCCCGCGTTACTTTGAAGGGATTTTTTACGATTCCCGATACTTAGGTTTTTATTTTCGGCTATAAATTGCCGTTGAAGATATCTAGTTATGCAAATGTACCGATAATATTTACTCCTGCTATATGTTTTCTTTCATTTAGACACTGAAAAAGTTAGGTTAGACTACCTGTAATTTATGCAGCTTCACTTTACTTTATCAAGTGGAGCGGCCACTGTTAGTCTGATATAAACAATAGATATAGATATAGATGCAGTGAGATACGTATAAGTAAAGGGGTATTTCGAGAAAGTGTTTCTTGAATGCTAACAGCTAAATAGGCGACATTTTAAAAAACTTTTATTATCAACAAAAGATCACAGATAGTAGAGATTGACAATAGTATTGGACAGAGGTGTACCTCAATGTCGTTATCTGATTGATTACATTGAGCGGTGTAACCATATAGCTATAAGATAATATTATAGTGGCCTTGCTACGGTAAAAAATGATGCGCCGCAGGTGGCTATGATATTTTCCTAAAGAAGGTGTGGATCTTTTGCCCAAGCGTCACCCCCAACTAACTGAGTTGCCAAATTTCCGTAATTTTTCTGAAAAAATCGACAAATTTTCATAAGAACGCAAAATCAGTCTCTGAGATCTGAATATAATTGGCAACGCTGAACTAGGAACTGCTATCGCCAGACACTACTAATAATCTGTGCTATTGTTTTGGTGGTTATGATTGTCTCCGTACCTTTTTCATGTTTTTGCGAAAAACTTGTGGTTGTGCTCCAAATTGAAGAATGTTATGTAAAAGATAATTTAAAAGATTTAAAAGTGGGTTCTATAGTGGCATTTCGTGAATTCGACTTTATTTACATTTTCAATAGAAGTTCAACCAATAAGTTTATAAAAACAAACTGTTTGCGCCGATTTACGGGCACAAATTCGGGAAAAATTAGCTGCTATCGTGTCTATAGCGGTTAAAGAACCAAAACGCTAAAATACCTACAGAATTGTCTTTCTACACCTTAATTCCATTTTGCCTGAAAATTTAATGTAATTTCGACATATTTTGAGAAAATACTGACGTAAAAATGCAGCATCCAAATATTGGCGACCTGCCAGCGACCATGTTGGTTGTTGGAAGCCGCAAGGCCTAATGGGTCGAACGTCCGAAAATGCAATTATAGCTGCCATTGGTTAAAAACAAAATTTCAAATGTCGCGCACGCGCACATTGACCAGACCTTCTCAAAATTTTGTTATATAGTTGCTTCACAAGTTCCTGTACTATTAGTATAGGCAGGGTCTCGACATGTCTAGTAGCTACATGGGCGTAACATACATCAGTACGCTGATGACACCCAAGTTAAATAAAAATTTAGCAAAGTTTGCAATATACTCACATGATAACGGCTTAATGTTTATTGCAAATAAGTCGGTCATTATTTACTTGAAAGATTAATGTTAAAGTGCCGTTTGTTTCCAAATGTAAAACTTTTTATGATAAATTAAGGTTCAAGACTCACGTTTCTAAAATTTTACAAAAATGTTATTGTAACTTAACGAACTTATACAAAAAAAAACATGTATTCATTTTATATTCAATCTAAACCCAAAGACCATATAAATGAATGAATTACGCTGACTTAACATCGCCTCCTTTTTACATAAGATGCTCAAAACTGGATACCCGGAATACTTGATGGGAAAAATTACGACCCGGGGTACTGTTCATAATCGTTGTACACGTTTTAACAATCTTTATGAGATACCAAAAATGCAAAAATGCAAAAGTGTCAGAATTCATTTTCATTTAGGGCGTGTTAAAAAAAAAAGAAATTACATAGTTACTTATATTTTTGTCTATTTTTGTTAAATGTAGATTACCCTTGACAATGTTATTGCTTTAATTATGCTTCTACTATTTTAATTTTTGTTTTTGCCTACTTCAACAGTATTATTTTTTATCACGTTTATTGTTATTGTTAATCTATTGTTATTGTTACTGTTAGCTGATTTGCTTATTTATTTATGATATTTGCTACAAAAATTTGCCTTTTTGCAAGCTGATTTGTGGATTTTTTTTACATGCTCGGTTAAGTTAACAGCTCTTCGCCTTGTGAAAAGTAAAGGCGTTTTCATTTATTTATTAATTTATAAGGTAATTGGGTACAATTTAGTACCCTACGAAACACGCTATATTAGAATAATGAAATCCATGCTACGAATAAAATCAGATCCAACCTGTTAAATTTTAGAAATTTCAGTTTTAAGAGGTACTAGAGTAACACAAGGACTTAAGTATGGTATACCCCATATTTTTTATTCTTCTACATCTTCTACCATGTATCAGCATCCTTTTAGGTGGGTTCATACAAATTCTATAGAAATTAGCTCGTAATGATATGGCGGTAAGCGAGGAATTCTATTGTAACATCTCTTCGGAATTATATAATTAAACCAGGTATTTTAATGCTTTTTGCTCCGCTATCTTTGTCTAATGCATTCATTTATATAGGATAGATAATACATTTGGCATTGCATGAAATTTATATCACAAATCTTTGGCGGATTATACACAAGTATAATAAAATTTAAATGATGTAAGTACTGAGAAAATATGTCACCGCCATCACAATTACCATAACCGTTCCTCTATACCTAAGTTAATTAGTGAGGTTTTAACATCAGTGACTCATGACAAGAGGCAGTAGGAAGGTTATCATAATCGTATTCTTTCTTAATATACTTAAGTAGCTTTAGTTTTGTTTAATCTAACTACTTTTCTAGTAATGAGTGGGTATTGAAGGAATCATTATTTTATAAATGTCAACAATGCTGTTGCGTCCTTACCCAAAGTGTTCTTAAATATTTTTCTTGCATAGCCTTTACGATTATTTTTGAAGCGGACCATTTCAATGCTACCTTTAAGATTTAACATAATGGATTGGGACAATTTCACTTTTTATAAGCCCGCACATCGGGAGTTACCATAGTGGTTTATAGCCACTTATTTTTTGTTTCAGTGCAGGATGTAACGCTTAAAGTGTCGGTGACAAGTGCCCGTGACTTAAAAGCTGACTCAAAATGCCACAAACTGTTCTACGTGGCCACCATCATAGCCACAACGGACACGCTTTATTCAACGGACATTATCTAAATGGTCACGCTAACGGGATGGCCAACGGACACGCGCATCACAACGGCCATACGTCAATCTACCAGCAGAATGGTCAAGCCAAATGCAACGGTCATTCAGGTAACGCCGAAATTGAGCAAACAAAGCTGCACGCTATAATTCTTTATTTTTCAAAAATACACTAATCTGGCTAAAATAATTAATATACTATGGTGTCGTATGCTGAACTCAACCCTTTAATTGCTGGTGAAGCTTAGGAACGTAGTCGTCCCATTGAGCTTGAAAAAAGTTTCCGGCAACCAACTCCATGTTGTATTTGGTAGAGAATTTTTTAATGGAAAATAGTGGTCTATTTGCTCCGGATGTATTGGGCACCCTGGGCTCGTCGAAGGTTAATTTTTTAGGTTGTTTGTAAATCAAAATCACGTAGCGGTGAAGGCCAGTGCCCTTAGGGGGTCCCGCTCCAACGTAGCCCGTAAGCACTTCACCTAAAAAAAACAAACGAAAAAGCCAGTCACTTAAACGTATTTAAAGATTTAATAATCATAACCTTTCGAAATATCCACTCCTGGTATATTACCGACCAACCAGTGTCGCCACTCTCGATTCTTTGGAGTTTGGCGGCTTGGAGCATCGGGATCTGTCATGCAAATCGTGTAGAATGCGTTTTCGTCGGCATTCCATTTGACGGACGGCTCATCTTTGACTGCAACATTAAAATAGACATTTTCTCTGCTCTTTTGCATCTTTAGAGAAGATTTATAGGCTGTTGTTAATGTTTCACATATTATGCATATTATAAAACGCAAAGCAAAATTTACTTTGAATTTATTTTAAACAGACAAGCTCTCTTAAACTGTTTTTCTTCAATGAAAGGAATGAAGGGAATCAGAATAGTAGAACAACATACGTTTATGAGTACGAATCTAAAATATTTGTATTTGACTGTTGAAATATTTTTTTTTAATGTTAGGAAATGTGTTATAGGTTTGGTTAAACCGTTCCCTATACAGAGTAAAATTTGATTTTAATACCATCTATGTATATTCTCGATAAAACGGTTGCACGTATAATTTTTAACTATTCGTTTAAGATAACAACACTCAATTATCGGGAATAATGTGAAAAGAGTACCCATATAAAACTATAGTTAAGAGTAGAGCTCTCTGCTGGTGCAGCTTTTGGGTAACAAAATCAAAGTTAGACATAAATATCTAAATGATTGAGTATTTCAAAAAATTGTTATGGAGGAGGAAAAATGACCACCAAAATGTAGAAAAAAAAACAACGCCCATATGGAATGCGGAAATGACGCAGGAAATGCAGAACAGAGAGCTGCGAGAGGAGCATTGATAGATGAAGCATTCTGGTGTAGTTGTCACATAATTCATAATCACATCATTTAACCAGTGTTAACGTAATACTTAAGTTTTAAAATTTCAGGAAAGACTACATATAACTAATAAATAATTTCATAATTTTCTACATAGTTAATTTTCCTATTATTCTTACATCATCACTCTTCTAAATTTTGACAGAAACCTCATTTTGTTGAAGTATATTATGCGGTTCGATGTGTTTAGGCCTTTGTTTGTAGGTTCTACCAAGGTTGTTAAAACAATGATTGTTCATTTAGTTTTAACCACGATACCTAAACCGCACAGCAGCGTTAAATCATCATTTCGATAAATTATATTAATTTGTTTTGCAAAACTAAAATGCGTGGTTGTGTTTCTAGGGTCACATTGAAATGTCATCATCATTTAGACTTCCAAACAATTAAAGCATTGGTAATTCAATAACCGAAAATAAAACTCGTACCAAAACGTAACCCAATCCGGAAACCGTAGCATATTACCTAGATATTAAAATATGATGTTAGCCTGAAAGCCGGAAAAGTACAAAAACAAGAGTCGATTTCAGCTGTTTATAATATTTTGTTCAAGGACAGACGCTGCATCCGCATATAACCGCAATACGCTACTTGGTATTAACTACATCGAATAAAAACAACTGTTAATTGAGTTTATGATTTGAACTAATCACGCTGCATAAACGTTGAGTAAAATATACTTAAGACGAGTTAAGCGAGTAGCAAAATAAATAACATTTATAGAGTAGTTAAAATATTTTAGTTTAACGGTGCTTGGCTTCTTCCTATGGAATCTATCGGAATGCTGCCTGAAATGACGACGTTAGACGAAGTTGCTCTCTAGTTTCATTCAAAAAAATTAATTAATTTTGCGTAAATTGGAAAAACATAGAAAAGGAAGGACTAGGATCAATTTTTGCAGTAATTGAGATATTCAGATATTATGCTGATATTATCTGAAAGAAAAAAACGAATCTTTTATATAACACCACTTGTAGAAACTAAAATAAGAACTGATGAACTTACACCAAAATCATCTTTGTAATACGCATAAAATTCTAGTTTGAACCACTAAAATTAAAAATAAATGTATATTTGTTCTAGAGGCCTTTCCTTGAGGCAACTTTTTTAATATTTTAGATCAGCTTGAAAAAAGTTTATCAAAATCCAATCCAAAAATCTAGCCAGCAATATAGAATTAGAAGTTTTAATGACTATATCGTAATACGATGTCATAAATATGAAACATAGGACCAATACGTGGTTAGGTATGGTGTGTCTCAAAGTAGATCGTCTTAGCTTTTGACAAACCCTCCCTCAAAAAGTAATTATGGTCTTTATACCTATTGTTACTTTCGTAGAGTAGGGAATTCATTAAACAAGAAGCCTACTTCATATTTTCACCGTCTGGAAAATAGTGAACAAGATTTGATAAGAAGGAAAATATATTTTCTTTATCAACATCAGATTGATCCCACTTTAGATGAACTGAGAAAAATTTGATGAGACGATGAAAATAATATAATTATTAGCCGTGCCAAATGGTATTTAAATACAGCAAACAAGACAATTGCACTGATTGCGCCCTCACAGATTTAGTTACCTTCAGGAAAAGTAGGTTTATAATTTACGAACATGAAACTCGATTCGATACACGCTATACGGTGACCAAAGGATGGGTTGGTTCCAGTAAAAACCGACTTATTTCGGTAATTATTGATAATTTGTATACATCTTATTTTCTATTAGTACTAATGTGGTTTCATTATGCCTAAATAAACCAAATATAAGCCTTATATTTTTAAAACACGTTAAAAGTCCGCCCCTGCAATACCGACTGGTCAAGGGGGGTTATTTGTATAACTGTCACCAAAAACCAAGGCAATACTATAGAAATCACGTCCTTTCTTCCAAGATCATTTGAATAGAACTAAACTTTTTTTACTAACAAGCAATACCTGAATTTATATGCTTGTGGCCCATTGTAAACATTTGTTTAAGTGAAGATTTAATTGCTTTTCTATTTATTCGAAAGACCAACAGTCGCAAAACATCACGCAACTACATTATTTTGCACAAGAACAAAACGATTTGTAGCGCGTGAAAAGTTTCATGGCGTATCTTCATAATCACCACCACCTACCTACGTGTTATTATTTTCGCGAAACGGCGACAATTCTCACACCAATGCGTTGCAGTTTCCCTGACCTTAACCAACAAAATGAACCTTACCTTGTGTCGGAGCAAGTTCATTGCCCAAATTAGCTTGAACGCCGCCGGAATAAACGACTTCTGCGGTCTCTTTGGGAGCGCCTTCAATAACGTCCGGTACCACTTGGTGTTTTTCCATACTTTCCGCGATATTTTCACCGCCGCAGCGTGAAATGCAAGTGACCAGAAATGCCAACGCGGCAAATGTCAAAGCGAGATGGCGTTCCATTTTCGCACAGCGCGACTACGTCGTGTGTGATCGATCCCAGAATGCCGCATGCAATGAGAGAACGTCTCCTCGGCGATCGAAAATAATGAAAACGGAGGTGTAGGTATGGTAAAAGTAGGTTTCGAGGTTTCGCAGGAGCAGCGACTCGCTTCATTAAAAATTATTTACGTCGCTAGGTGGCGCGTGAATAAATTTTCAAAGATGAACACGGCTTCATTTTTTTCCCCTAAAACCCCATGGAGAAGTCACAGGGTCATCTTTCGTGAATTTTAGAGCATAGAAATGTGGGCAAATAACCAAAAGTGTTTGTTTCCTTAAAATATTAAGACGCTGTATTTTTGGATAATTTCTATTAAAAAAGCAGGAAAAGTTATTCTCTATTATAAAAATCTGTAAGCAAGACAAGATTATAACCTAAAAATTTGTGTGTTGTGTTTTTCGACGATATTTTTGCGACTAAAATAATATCTAGCCAAAAATCGCAATGATAATAAAAGGCCTACAGATTTTGAGAAAGGCTTTGGAAGAGACTGAGATTGTAAGATGTGCTTAACAGAAGTTTATTCAGCCTCTTAGACTAGGAAAACATATTTTTCAATTTCATTAAAATTAATAATAGTTGCATTAGCTATTAGAACCCTATTGTATAACCATCATAATTCTATTAAAAAGTTTTGACATACAAAATCATAATATATTAAGAAGATTGAGATAAAATTACCGACGGTCATCTGTGAAAATGACAAATGAGAAATTTGGCAACATAGAATCCTTCCTCACTATTTTTACCCAACAAAAATTTAAAAACATCCCTATGGAGCAATTTTTCTCCTTTTGTCCAAAACATAAACACAGCAGTATTTATTCTACTTTGTAGACTTTATCAGAAGTGGATTTTTTTTGTAAATTTCCCATTACAAGTTTAGCAATGATGCAATTAACCATGATATTTGTCTACGCAATTCTACGGGTCTTTCAAAAATGTTTTGGTATACGGCAGTTCCTATCAAACTGCTCCCAAATTTAAATAGTATTTAACTACATTATAGGGACTGACCAAGTGAAATTTCACTGTATTGCACCGCCGTATTTTCAGCTTTCCTTTATTTAGCAACTTTTAATATAAGCTATATTCTCCAATGTAACGTCAATTTTTGTCAATGTTTCGAATGAACTGGTATTTAACAACCAATTACTAATAGCAAAACCTAAAACAAACCAAGTTTTGACGAAGTTGCATTTTGTTGTTTGATTATTTGAAATTAAAATGTATTTTGTCATTAGCGATATTTTCCGCCAGATCAATTGGGTTTTTTTACTTACTTTATTACTTTCCTAATGTTTTATTCACATGTTGGTAACGCAAAAATGACCCAACGGAACATGACCAAAGAATCACCATTTGGCATTTATCTTATGTAAAAAAATCATTTTAATTGGTAAAGCATAAAACTGTCAACTAATTGACTTTTACGAACGCAGCTGATTTTTAGCTATATCATTTTGAGGAATTGAGGAGGAGGAGGAATCCCGTCGATATTTCCTATTCTATCGATAAAATGGCAGTGAGACATCACTTTGATCCGTACCTTTTTCTGGATACAGTGTCGAGGGATTCTATGACCACTTGTCTGGTTTCCTTTAAATTTTTGGATGCAATATTCGAACCCCAATTCCAGTCGACCCTAACGAGATTTAACAATTTTTAACATATAAGTTTATTGTTTTCTCCGCCATTATCCCCTAGAGGAAATATTCCCGATTAAACGATGTAGATGTTCGAATTCGTAGAACAAGACAATCGTTGTTTTGAAATCGCATGATACACGAGGCGATTACCATTCGACAACTTATTCTATTAATATCTGACCGAAAGTTGGCGATAACATCTCCGGAACCCTTTGTTATGTATATGCAACCAAGCTCTTATTAAATTATTATTAAAACGGTAGATACAATAACGAACAAAACCGTCCCGTGTGTGATTCGAGTGGAAAATTTTTACAGTTATTCCCTATCGACGGGTGGTCTCTCATTAGAACACGGCGGATGGAACGTTTAAGAGTGCCGTAGATTTAAAGATGTCACGGAATAATTTGTTAGGGGGAAAATGGCGCGTAACGTTCTCAATCTCGCTTCAGATAGGTTGTTGGCATTTCGTACTTGTAAAGGGCTATAAAACCAACCCAAAACTAACCATCAAGTTGTTATTAATTAATTTATGTTGGCAGTATTTGGAAATATTTCAAATTGGGGTTAGAAACATTAATTTTTAAGAAGAAGTATAGGTAAATTAATTTCTTCGCAGAGTGAGGTTTATTTATCGGTTAGTGGTAAAGTCTGTTCATAGATATAAGAAAGTGACTACTGATACGAATTAAGGAAAGACCCGGGCAAGCTGTAGGAATGAAATATGGCCGAACAGGTCCGTACTTTGCTCAGAATTTAATTGTTTGGGGTTTTATTAGGAAAGATACTAAACAATATTTATTTATTTATGTATGTATTTATATTTAAATCTAAAATAAAATTACAAATTATTTTTATTACCTACTTAAATTACTTAAAATTATTTACATAATATATCAGTATGCCCAATTTTGTGGAGGGAGGTTAAAAACTTCGGTTTCAATAAGTTTGAGGACATTGGAGTTAACGAGTTGTTACGACGAATGGCCGATTTCAGTTGTTGCCAAACATGTTCAATGGGATTAAATTTACAGTGGTAAGGTGGAAGCCTTAAAACTGTATGCCCTAGATTTTTTGCATAATTATCACAGACGTATTATTTTTGTAGGTTCAAGCTTTGTAGAACCTCAATTAATTGCTTTTTGGTATAATCTTTGTGAAAATAAATGTCGTTATTATACATGTAGTTTTGGATTGTTGCTTTTGTGTCACATGAGGAAGGGGTTTTAGTCAACTGTCTACTATGATAACTTGCATTGTCCATTACAATGACGCTATTAGGAGGAATGTTTGGAACTAGTTTGTTTTTAAACCAGCTTTAAAATAAATCAGCGGTGGTGTCTCCATGGTAATACAGAAAAGAATCTTTAATATTTTTCGCATACAGAGAAAGTCCATTTGGAATCCAACCATCTTTAGAGCCAGCATGCAAAAATAATGGCCCGTTTGTTTTACACTTATCAGTTGGGTCAACTCAACGCTTTTCCGGGGTATCATAAGTGTCGAACCAGGTTTCATCCAAGTAAATAATTGGCCTTTGATGTTCTCTGTAAATCCTAATTTTTTCTGGATATTCCAGTCGCCACTTCCGAATTCTAAAAGATTCCAGTAAAACTTGACTTTTGTCATTTTTTGAAATCTAAAACCCATGTGTTGAATACACTTCCATAAGGTACTTCTGCCACATTTAACACCGGTTTCATCTTTTTCAAGGCTTCTAATTAAGATATCTAATGTAGGTATGCTTTCTTCCTTGTATAACTGGTAAATTTTACGCCGTATTATATCTTAATGAAATGGGATGATTCAAAATTTTCCATACAGTTGATGTTGGAATTTTTGTCAATGTGGCCGTTCCTTCTAAAGGTGCTTGTTTGCTGGCACCACGTTCAATGAGAGTCAAATAAACATAGTTTATAACTTCCTTAGTCTCAATAGAATAGTGTTTTCTACATTTGGGCGGGAGCATCTCCTGAGATACACTAGACTCGGACATATATTGCATAATTCGCACACGATTCAACACACGCTGTATTACACACGAAATAAGAATGATGAATTTTACCTGAATTTAAATTCCGAAACTTTAGGTAACAATCTTGTGGCATTGTATGTTAATGACCACCTTTGGATAATCCCATTCAAAAGCAACTGGTCACTTTCTTATATCTATGAACAGACCATACTTAGTAATGTGCGAAGTTATTTTGGAAGCGTTTATCACTGCAACCTTGTCTTTATTTGTGGAGAACCTCAGCGTGTAAATACTTATCCAACAAACTGTAGCAATTAGACAAATTGCAGCAACTTGTTGCATTGTCAAAAAGAGGACAAACTTATAGGTGTGCCATAATAGTTCACATGCAACTACTTTTAGGGGGATGTGGGATTCTCCAAGCAAACAAGACTAAGCTACAGTATATGCCACGGACACTATATTTACCTGCCAACTAACATATGCCTCACTTTGCCAATGTGTATTAAATGATTTACACAATTTTTCTACATAATTACATGTGCTCGAACGAAAATTTCAAATTTTTTTATACAATAGTAAATAAATATCTATGTCCCATATATTGTTGCTTCAGTATTTTACAACACTTATCGCGGGTAGACGTGAGCAATTGTTTTCGTCGAAATGATTAGTCGATTTTAATTGCATGCTAGTAAGCACCCATTCGTTACGAAAAAATTAAAATAATATTTTGAACATCAACAAGACCGTCGTCTACACGAAAGTCACCGGAACTGTTCAATGTCAGTCCCAGACTACGATATCGGATTCTTTTTTACAATGGATTTTCAAAGCATAAAAATATTTTTATTCTGATTACTGATGTCATTTGAGTACTGTTGATTAGCAGACACGAACAAAGTACGTACGTACGTGAGTTATGCCATCAAGACCCTAGTTCACCAGTGAGCTTTTTTCACTGTAACTGGTAAATTATGTAATAAATTTATAAACATTATTTTTTGGCTGCATTTTTGTAAAAACACACATTGACACATTCACTGCTGACCTGTGACATCACTATCACTGCACATTGATTAGTTTATAATTCGGTACTCGTAATTGGGTTTTGTAAGATTACTATTTTTACCATTTTTAAAGTTGATAATTATTTTTCTGTAGTTGATAATTATTTTTTCTTCAGAAATATATATCTTTATAATATCAAGGCAAAAATCTAAACATGGAATGATTAAAAGTGTGCATTGGCGTCTCGAGTTTTTAAGAACGAGGTATACTTAAACTTGCACATTTTCACAAGAGCGATAAAAGTTAATAATTATTATAAAAAACAATCTTCCTCTATAAATTTTGTACCGATTGAATTGAGAATGTGAAAAAAAAAGTACATACCTAATTAAATAA